AGATGTTGGCCCGCGATCACGCAAGAAACTCACACGAGTCGTATTTTCGAAGTGCGATTACGCGATTTAATTCGATTCAACGGTCGTAAAGCATCTTCTTAATGATATTAACAGTTTAAAAACAATTTTTTTATTACACTTACTACTCTTACTATTCCGTCTTTTAACATTTTAACAATATATATTTCATGAGTTTTATTTGAATGAATACCCACCCACTGATCTCGCGGTCGAAAAACGCTTTTTTACCGCGTACGCCGCCCTTTCTAACTGCTTCCGTATTTCCTTTTTTTTTTTTTAGTTTTCTCTATTTTTGTTTCTTCATTTGACGTTGGGCGGTGGTAAGCCCGATGGCATGTGCGCGATCCATGCTCAAATGGCCTAACTCGTTTTATCCAGTTTTATTCAGAAAATGTTTTTCGTGTAACGTTACTGCGGAAGTCGAAGTCCGGCGGACTTAATTGGGTTTTGTTCCATGCCCTTCGATCGCTCGACTGACCGCTACAGTAGCCGCGACTTTTGCTGCAACCCTCTCTTTGCAACCTTCTACCCTTTATACCGACTATCCTCCCCCTACCTCGCGTTCTCAAAAAGCGCCGCAACAACGTACTCGCGTTTTTTAGCGAAATCTTTTCTGTTGTTCGGTCAGCTGCTTGCTTTTTACTCTATTTTTAGTCTCCCTCCTTTCCTCCTCCTCTTTTTAATAAAAATTGTCGGTCGTTATGGTCTACGTCGAGCAATGCAATAAGAAGTTCACGGTTGTAAGCACAGCAAACTGAGGTATAATGGTCGTGTTTATGGCGGTATTGATGCAATATTTACGACATTTTAAGGAATATTTCGTTTAACTTTCGATGGTGTATAATCGGATTTATCGAAGGGAAAACGCTCAGTCGCTGCGGCGAGGACTGGAGTCCCGATCGGTTTTCATTATTTCGCGAGACGGAAACGAAAGACTACGAGAAACTTAAATATTGGGTGCTAATGGCTTTAATTGATTTTAATCAGAGCTCAGCTGCCGAGCTGTATCTTTCGTATCGGAAGTTTCGCCGTATCCAATATCTTTTTCTTCTCTCGCCGGAAACTTCGTCGAGAGGAAAGTTGCCCTTCCTCTTCTCGACACTTCGAAAACTAAAATAGGGCGATCCAGGATATCTATTATCCTTAACGCCCCGTGCGGCGGCACTCGTCCTTTCTTTTTATTTTTTTTTTTTTATTTTTTATTCGCTTGAAAGATTTGTCTCACGCGTACCAGCGCAAACGTACTCTGACTTAAGTGGGCTAATTAACTTTATCCGGGAAATCCTTTTTATTTAACGTTTGACAAAAGTTGAACTTTGGCCGCATTTAATTGAGTTTTATTCCGAGCCTTTGGCGCACGCAGAGCCACAGGCACGAGTCGTCGTTTCCTCGCTCTTCCCCGTACTTTCACTCATCGTATCCGCAGGAATTTTCTGCGTTGCTCCTCTGTAGTTAACCATACCTTTTTTTTTTTTACTTAGCTACTCCACCGCGCTCCTACCCTTCCGTACTCGTACGAGAGACTCGTTAGGCACCGGGGATATCTTTATCTACGCTAATTTTTATCTCCGCCCGAGAAAGATTCCTCGCGAAATTCCACGTGTCTCCGGCAGCAGTTGTGAATGGATGAAAAAGAAAGAACGCATATAGCGACAGCGATGATGGCGTTGCCGCTCGAGAATTCGTCATAAATGATTCGACTAATTTCATCCGGGATACCGTTCTTCTGCCCTCACGACGTATCTCGGAAGTCAAACTTAATCGAGTTTGGTTTACGTCTGCCAATAGCCGCGAATTTGCTCTGTCTCTCTCTTTCTCTCTTTTTCTCTTTCCCCTCGGCAACATCGGTATCCGGCGCTTCCCGCGCGTTTTCCACCGGGATTTTCCCCGTTGTTCGGTTATCGATCCCTGCTGCCCCCTCGTCCCTCGCCACACCCCTCGCGGCACCCCTCAGACAACACTGCCTGCCTGCCTGCCGGCACTTTTCCGTCGTTGCTCGCGCGATGTTAAACGCGCGCGAAATCGACTCGGACGAAGTCACTCCCGCGGGACGATTTCGCGAGAGTATATTCTGTAGAGCTCTACCCCCGAATCTTCTTCTCGAGTTTTTACGCCTTTTCTCGCCGAAACTGTCGCGCCCATTCTTTTGCATTTTTCTCGTCTTTTTAAATCTCTTTCGATCGTTCTTACATGTTAGACGAGATGTCTCAAGAAAGAAGTATGGTGCTAGGAAGATTCGAAATCGATTCTTTTTCCAGTCAGGATGTAAATTCTTATGTTTTATTCTTTCTTAAAAATATATGGATTCTATGAAATATCTCTATTTTATTAATAAAATCTATTATATTAAATTTTTAGTACGAGAATAAAATAAGATTAGATTCTAGCTAGCAACAAATCTAATGTAAAATATGTGAAGAGGAGGATTTTCTTTTAATACAATATATATCTTTCCTGAGACACACTGTGAAAATATATCTTCTAAATAGAAATACAAGAAGAGCACTTTATGAACACACTAGAGACGAGCTACGTTCCTCTTCAACGTTCGAGTAATCCAGTGACACGCTGATCCACTGAGATGTAATAGTAAGTTTCGTAAAGCGTATCGCATTTGTGGATGAGTACCGTTTTGAGCTCGCCCGACGCCTCGACGACGCGATGCATTCAATCTCCGTTTCTTCATTTTCATTAGCATGCTATCTATAGTGTTGCTTACGACGCTACTTCGAGGGGCCATTGAAGCACCCTTTTGACTAACCCTTTGTAGCTCGCGCAAAGAGCTTGCAGTGAGTTAACATCTAGTCTCTATGGATGCTTTATAATACCTAACACAGTATTAAAAATATTGATAAAAAAAAAAGAATTTAATATGACATCATGTGTGACATGTTAATAATTATTTTCATTATGTTAATAATTATTCATATTTTATATATATGACAAATCCAATAATATATTAATAAAATAAGTTTAAATATCAAATATTAATTTAAAATAAAACAATTATATTATATATGCCAAAAATGTTATATTTTATATAAAAGATACATTTGTTACCAATTGAGTAAAATTGCATTATTTGTGGAAACAACATTATATATCCGATTAAAGCAGGTGTTAGATATGATAATATAAACTGTATTGTAAATTTAAATCGCTCCATAAGCGAAGCGCGTACATGCGTTACGACGTTACGATAGTGCAGTATACGTATCTTTTATGCATCGTTTCTCCTCTTGTTATGGCCACTTATCACTTTAGACGGCTCTCGTCATATGCTCTATAATATATGTATTTGATTTTGTATAAACGCGTGAATGTTGAATGAACTATGGTTAAAACTTTAAATTAAACTATTGCCGTTTCGGTGAAAGAGGATTTTTTTTTTTCAGATTGATACGATCCACGAATATATACATTTCAAAAAAGAATTTATGAAATCGATAGATTATTTTTGCAATGAAAAACATCGTTACGCGCTTAAGTCACGTCGTAAAATTGAGATATGGCTTTAAAACAATGCTGTATTTAATGTGTATACGACGGATTCTTTTTTAATAATATTTTACTAGCAATTCGTATCTCATGTTATTCTTTCGCATCGCTGCTCATTCCTAGCAAATGGAACGCAGCATATAGTCGAATAATTTCATTTATATGCTCGGAGATTATACTAATTATGAAAGAAACTGTCGCCGTGAATATTATGCCATGGAAATTCATGTGAGAACTTTACATGCGTTATATATGAGTACTATATCCTGTATCTTAATATAGAGTAGTTTAAAATTACGTATCATAATATACTTGTTTTTGTCTGCATTAATGTCAAAGGTGATAAGCCAAAATACGTCTCAGTTTCAATTATTAATTACTTTCGGAAAATAAATTACCACATTGAAAAGATAATTTAAAGAAATGGATAAATTGATATATAAGGAGCTTATTATTTTTAAAAAGCAAAAGAAGGAAAGAGAAATGATTTCTTTGAATTTTCTCAAAAATTGCGCATCAAGTCGGAATCACAAATATACGTCGATCGAGTGTTTTAGCGTATCGAGGATTAAAGGAGCGTGAACGCTGGACGCGAATACGATACGCTCGGACATGTACGCGCGGACACGCACATCCACGCGAAATTGCGTGTACACGTCGTGGACACCCGGCGAATTCCCTCGTGCAGGCATGTCCAATCATTGGTGTAGGAATTAGAGTCTCGATGCACACATACCTCCCCCTCCGTGGTGTCCATCACCCCTGTTTCCCCCCTTTCCCCGGTCGTCCGTGCACTTGGTTCGCCAAATTAATGAACAATGTCAACGTCGGCGGCGTCGCTACGCATCGCGCATACGGGATACGTTCATAAAATTCGCTGACGAATCAGTCGCATTTGGATAATTTTGTTATCCCGCCGCAGCCAGAACTTTCTGCGTGATGAAACCTTATTTGTGTAGGGGCCCCACGGGATTTGCAGGCGCGTGCGTTTACGCGAAATCGAATCGTAATCGGATTTCTTCGTCCACTCTGACTCTTTGCGGTTTTCGAGTTTCCAGAGATATCGGGCTATCAAATCTGATTCGTTCGGGGCGCGATGAGATTTTACGCAATAAGTTCCACCGTTGGAAGAATTTAAAGTTGATGATTTTAATCAAGATTTCATTAGTCTTCCTCTCGCAATGTCAACTAGTTTGGTAACTTGAGAATCTTAAATGAAATTTTTCATAAAATTCTCTCTTCTTTAAGTGTGCGTATAATCGAAAAACAAGAAGACACAAAAAGTTTGAGTATCATTTAGATTTCCCTTTAGAGATCATTCAGAGATAAAAATATCCCCTCTAAGATTACAATTCGCGATGTTATTGTCGCGAATTAAGTGTTTCACGAGACATCGCAAGAGTACATCGCGATAAAATACGAGCGTCGCGGATTAAAGTGTCCCTGATCGACCCAAATAACGATCCTCCCTCTCATTCCAGGTTAGCAGCGCTACGTCGGCGAGATACCGACGACGACGACGACGACGAGGACGAGGACAACGACGACGTGGAAGACGACAGCGGCGTAATCGCGCCGCGAAGGTAGTGGGGTTGAAAATCGACGCTTGCCCGGTGTCACCCTCTCTCCTCCAGCATCTCGCCCCTCAATCGCTTACTCGTGCGTACCCTTCCAAAGGTCCACTGCCCCTATCTTTTCCTCCTATCTGTTCCTTCGTACGTGTACTACCCGTGAAGTTTTACCGCCATATCCACGTGCGTGCACAACGAGCATACGCGTATAGAAAGTCACACGCGTAATCATCACGCATACGCAGATACGGTTCCGAAAGACGGAGAGAGAAAGGTACGCGTTAATACGAACGGCGCTTGCGCGTGATATCGGCGCGGAGAGTGGGAGTAGGAGTGGGGAGTGCGGCGCTTGGTGGGGAGCGTCATCTGTCGCGACGTTAGTGTGACGGCGACCGGCAGCGGGTGCGGATGGTGCTTATCAGTGTGCGCGTGTTTGTCGTGACGTTGCGCAATAAGGGACGTAATAACGGTTGTTTATCCTAACGTCGCTCGCGCGTGGACGCTTGAACGCGTGAGCGCGGGTGGGTGTTGGTTGCGACTCTCGCCTTCTACTTTCCCTTCGTCGTGCATCGGCCGTCTCGCGGCTTCGCGAATGTGCCGCTTGGCCGCTGCGAGGCGGTCCATCGTCCTCGGGAAAACATGCGCGCGGCGGGCCGCCGGTGGACGACCGTGGATGCAACGACCGCAACAAACGGGAACGTCGCGCCGCACGTGACTGCCGCGACACCCGCGCAGCTGCTTCCGGCGCAGTGAGTGTTTGAGAGAAAGCAACGCGCGCCTTCTCTCTTCCCGCCGTATACGCTCGATAGATAATAAGTTAATTCGCGCGCGTCACAGTGTCTCTCGCGGGCGTAATCAAGGGTGCTTCGGATCGCACAGTGTGACGGTGATAATACACGGTGCGAGGGGTACGTGTTCGCCATTCCTTCCGGAGTTCCGTTCTCGCGTGTGCCGATTTTCGGTCGTTCAGTGCCCGCGACGGAGACTACGAACCCTGGCACGTCATTCCGAGCGTCGCTGCGACACCATCGCGAGGAAAGGATGAGGCGAGCCAGCCTCCGCGTTGCTCCCAGGATGCACCCGTTGCTGTCCTGCTGGTGCTTCGTCGCGACGGTCACCCTCGCTCTGGCCGCTTGGCAGGAGAACGTCAGGCCGAAGATGTACGTCCAGTTAGGTGAGTGATCATTTGTCATTTCTGTGCGCGCGGATGAATAACGTACAGTGTAGTTTTCTCCATTCGTCCCCCTTTGTCCTTGTTTCGTGTTTGTCGTATGAATTAGTGCGTGGTAATGATTAATAATTTCGGTCATTGATCTTGCGCGAGTGCAGCTCGCAGATCGTCAACAAGTTTACTTTGACGTATTTCCAATCGTCAAATGGTGTATTCGAGTCTCCAATGACATTCGATAAATATTTCCGACGCGACTGCGCAAACTAATAATTTTATTAACCGCGTAGAAATTTATTTAAGCAAATTAATACGTGTTTTACGGGAAAGAAAAATTTTCGGGCAAGAAAAAAGCTCGAAGGATAATCGAAAAGAATATGGTGACGACGAGAAGTTTAGCCATTGTTATTCTTATTTGGCTTTGTGTTTAGCCATTATTCGTGAATTTCAACATCAATATTGAGCGACGTTTCACATATATTGAATAGTAACCTCCACGCGATAGAGGTTAAGGACTTCCGCAAAGTTCGAAGCCGCATTCTCGAAGGCCGAGAGAGAGGTTTGCTTATGTAATGATCGTGAAGTTGCAGCGAATGCAGGTTCATGCACCTTCCCCATTCGCGGATGGATTTTCCCTTGTCGAGGAAGGATTGTTCCGTTTCGAGTCGGTGACTGCAAACTTTAATCAGCGGTATAATCCCCCCCCCTTCACCCCCCGACTTTCCTTACTCGAATAAGAAAACAGACACAAAGATATCGACCGCGGTGTTCCGGTTATATTATTAAAGCACGATTCGCCGGCGATAAAATACATATATATATATTTCTCATTAGTTAATCTCGTGGCTTTGTTCTATTATGCTAACAGTTTGTCCATCATATCACAAACACGAAACATGGGGCAACGAAGCGAAAACGAGCCTGCAGAAATTTCAATGCGTTATAAACGCGTTGCGATTTTTGTTTTATTCAAAGTCTCACAGCTGATTTAGAAGCTATGTGATTCAACGCTGTGATTATTCCCCCC